GTTTGTCCTTGTGTAAGCACTGGGAAATCCTCCATAAGGCTAGGCCCTGGTTCTTTTGGTTTTGGTTTTGATTTTCTCATGTTAGTCCTTGCTCTGTGTCTCTGTGTGCAGCAATTGTCAGTTACCTTTCAAGGATTTGTACCAACTGATGTCTCCAGCAGCAGCTTCTGTCCTTAGTCAGCTGTGATTCTCTGTATCCATCTAGCTTTCAGGGCAACAGTTCACTATGACATCAATTCTCCTAATGATGTAAGAGTTCTTGAATTTGAGTTTGTTTAGTTTAATTCTTCTGAAAATGGAAGTGATATCTTCCAACCTTATTACGTGCAGGGCCAGAAACTTGGATGAGCCCCAAGTTGAGATTTTATGGCAGTGTTTCCCCCCCCTTACATGTCTGATAACTGGTTAGTAATTCATTAATGACCAATAAGAATAATAAAAATCACACTCTGTGAACACATCCAAATTTGCATGTTCTTTCTCAAACAATACATCTTTATTAAAAATCTGTGATTTGCAAGGTGCTGAATTGGGGCTTTTGAATTCAAAGAGTTGTAAAAGGATAGGTCTTGGTTGAAATTCAAGACCCTTATCCATCTCAGAGCAGTTCTTCAATTGCTCCAAATCCTCCAAATGCTGCTGTCATTGTAGCCTTAGATGTCTAACCACTTTCATTTATGCAATTACTCCAAATAATTGTGTGTGAAATTTCTATCCCATGTGGGGTATGAACACCAAGGTCCCCCTCTCATACCCACAAGATTTTTTTATTTGTTCATTTTGTAGTTAGTTAGTTAGTTAGTTTAATTGGTTATCAGTACTGGGATTGAACCCAGGGGTCCTCTACAATTGGGTTGTATTCCTAATTATTTTTATTTTTTCTGAGGCTGGCCTCATACTTGCTATCTTCGTGCCTCAACCTCCCAGTCACTGGATTACAGGTGTGCACCACCCCCACAAGATTATTTATCAAGTGAATGAAGAGCTGTTGTTTTCTGGCTCCATGTTCTGTTGAATTCTCTGCCTTCTCTGTTTTGCCTTTTGGATGTACAATCTTTGCCCTGATCAACCACCCAATAAAGTCCCTCGGGTAGACACTGCCTTAATTCCACTACATTTTTGACTATCATTGACAGAAGCTCTGTATGTAGCATACTTTTAGTGAGTGACTTGAGATGAAAAGGCCATGTGGCTTTCAGGCCAGTGAACAACTTGTCAAGAGTTGAAGAACAGTGATTTCTAGTCCTGTGAGCTCCCTGTTAGCACCATCTCTGTCCTTCTCAGAGTCCCAGCTTGCCATGAATCAGTTGCATGATTTTGTCCCCTGCCCTTCCTGTTCCTTTCTTATTTCTTTTTCCCCTTGATGCCCCAAACCCTGGTTTCCTGTAACTTTATTTCTCCGTAACTGAACTAAAATTTCTCATTGAGCTCATATTTTGGTGATGAAAGAAAATACCAAATATTTTCAGTGAGAGTAGTTCAGTCACTTCTACTTAAAAATGCCTAGAAGAACAATATGCAATAGCCATTAGCCATGTTTTTTATCCTATGTATTACCTACAAAAGTAAAATAAGGATGAATTTCAAATACCATGAGAAACCAAGTATTTAGCATGAGTCCACGCCTTTACATTTTAATGTCCTTCTTTTTAGCGAAAGGGACATGTTTTAAACATCATTTGTATTTTGTAGTCATTCTGTGTATTTATGGTCTTCTCCAATTTTTACTCCCAGATAAATTTGAACTGTACTTGATAGTTTGCATAAACTTATAGATGTGTCCTACCATGTCCATGGAAGAAATTGCAAGTGCTAATGCAATGGTATATTCGTAGAATTTAGGGTTGAGAACATTAATAAGCTCTAATTTGCATAATTTCTTTGATGTGTCCTTGTAGTTCCTTAAATACAATTAGAAGATTTGAGGAAGTCTGTTTTGTTTGAGTGAGATTGAGAGAGGGTATGGGCCATAGATTTTTTTTTAACCTACCATTACTGTACAGCCTGTTTCTTTAAAGTTTTGAGATTTGATTATCCACAACAAGAACTAAGGCTGTATCCTCACTCAGCAGTGGATAGTGTTCTATTTTCAAAGTTATAGTGCATGAGGGAGACAAATAGCAGTATTTGCACTTTGCCATGTGTCAATAGCCTTTCTGGTTCATTATGGGATGTCTTCCCTCCCTATGTAAATTTTACAAATATACTGATGAGGACAGATTTTTGTAATCTGTCTTCAATGGGTCATAAGTTGAACTAGCAATGTTTTTTTTTTTCCTGAAACTAAGCATTGCTGTGACATGGTATTTAATAGTGTTCAGCTTACTGCTGCCAAAATAAACACAGCTGTAAGAAATGATGACCCTCTCATCTTTTCAACAATAAAATGGCTTCCTAATGTGCTTCCCTAACTCTGAAAATTAATATTCCCTTGGATTTCTGAGCCCCTTCCTCTTCCATTACGAAAGCTCCATGAAGAATATGGCTTTTGACTGACTGACAGAATAGAAGATGTCATTAGTTGCAATAAATTAGAATATGAAAAAAAAGCCCTTTCTAAATTGTAGTCATAATTCAAGCAACCTTTCACCAAACACAGTAAAAGTAAACCAAGGAAAAGAGATAATACTTTGAAAAGAAGGTTTGTGAAGTAGATGACTCACAAATTCAAAATGGTCAGAGACAGATAGCACATGGACTATGACAGTTTCCAGCATGTGGATTCTGCTGTCCAATCAGATAATCTTTGAATATAAAATTTTACAATGTTTTTTTGATTTTCTTATATTTTCCAAAAAAAGCAAGTCTTTATTACTAAAGGCTATATTTGAGAAAATAATAGGAAAAACACTATGATGAATAACACCTACATTTCTATGCAATGTTTCTTATTTTCCTGCTTCTCAGGACACGTATTGAAACAACAGCAAGTTTTTTAAAATTATCATGGAGATAAATTGCTTTTAAAAGAAGAAAGCAGGATCTTTTCTTGATTTCTATCACAACTGTGATAGATTTTAATTTTTCTCCCTGAAACAGCTGACATTTATTTTTTAAGCTTAATTCTGCCATGTTGGGTTGTGGGAAAATTAAAGCTTCTGATAGGGTTAATCCAGCTCCATAAAAGTCCATGCTAGTATGATCATAATCTTGGTCTTTGATGAGATCTGAGCTAGTAATATCTTGTGATTAATCAAAATGGGTTGCATGTACCATAAGTCATCTCACAGATGGACTAGAGAATCAGAGTTCTTCTGAATATTTGTTTAATCCCTTCTAGGATAAAAAAAAATAGCATTTTTGTTTGTTTTTTTGTTTTGTTTTTACTTTCAATCAGATTTGGTTCACCAAATAAACAACTAGGAAGAAATTTCAAAGTGCAGTTTTGCTGGGATCATAGATCAAAAAAGAAGAAACTTGTAGTTTAATTCATATTATTTTAAAGAACACTTCGTATGATTAAAAAATCACATTAGTGAAATTTAACAATTGTATTCACTTGCAGTTTCAATTTAAAAAGCTTCATAAAAGAATATGTCAAATATATATGTTATGGAAATAATTTTGAGGTTTTCATTGTTCTCAATAGCACAAAATACTTTTCAAGATTATTATGTGCCTCTCTTATGATTCTGCAATTTCAATCTAATTGACATCTGATGACAAAGAGTGCTACTTTGGCAACTAAATACCCACATCTCACACCCAGCGCACAGCAAGAGTTCTCAGATTCAAGGGGTGGTGCAATTTATTGAATGTGTCTGTCAGTTCAGGCAGGGAACTGCTTTGATTTTTTTTTTTTTTTTTTTTTTTTTTTGGCCAGATTCACAGGTTAACTGACTAATGTTCCTGGAGGTCTAGAGTGTAGCCATGGGGTTCAAGACTTACATCCCAGTGCACCACTGCTATTGAGTAGCTTCATGACTTCAGCCCAATTTGTTGACCTCTCAGATTGAAATCCCTTATTTACGAAAGAAAGAGAGAGAGAGAGAGAGAGAGAGAGAGAGAGAGAGAGAGAGCACTAAATCCCCCCAAGGTACCATCTAGTTCAAAACTGTTTGATCAATCAAATCAGTGAAGTATCTCACAATAAATACTTAAATATCACTTGTTCTTACTAAAGAACACACCATATTTAGTGTGTTAAGTGCATGTAAGTGGTTTGAGAAACTTCAAATCCTATAATGCATCATCCCCTAAACCATTATGTATAAGAATATAATTGAAAATTTCTTCTGGTTAAAACAACTCATATTCTATATTTGTGGAAAGACCTAAATGCCTCCGCACAGGTTAGGATTTAGAATGAGGTGTGTTTAGTTTGAAGGGGTCCACACTTATAAACATGTTGTGCTAATGTGAAACAAAGAGATCAATATTCAAAACGTATTATTTACTTGATTTCCAACAAGCAGTTTAACCGTATGTTAAATTAGGCCTAGTCCTCAGAAAGCATGTGGTAGGAAACCACAAATGTTATTCAAAACTAAGTTTGGGTCTTATTAAGTTCATCAGACAGCATTTATAGCATGACTTATGAAAGACCAAAAAGTAAGCAGTTGACCATTTGTTTTTCAGCTTTATACAAACTGACAATTTATTCCTATAAATTACATAAAACATTTGATTTGGTTTCCTAGAGATCCTCTTAGTCTCAGATTCTTTAAGTCTACAAGTGCCTATTTATAATTATGGGAACTTTAATATGAAATACAGAAAACAGATTGTGATTTACTTGTCAAGCAGTCGTTCAGGCCTTGAAGACAAAATTTTTCAAACTTGCTCAATAAAAGTTATGAATTAAACTGCCTACCCCAGAGCCACATGTACTGGGGGAGATCAATAAATGCATGTATGATTATATAAGAATCATTGAAGAAGAGAGTTGAAAGAAGATGTGTGATCTATGCAGTACAATTGTAGACTGGACAAGTAACCAATATGTATTAAAATAAGGATGATTTAATTTTCTTTCTTTCTTTCTTTTTTTCTATTTATAGGAGACCTGGTGAGCCTCCATTGATAAAAGGCTGGCTTCCTTATTTTGGAGTGGCCCTCAACTTACAAAAAGATCCCTTAGGGTACATGAAATTTCTCCAAAAGCAACATGGTGACATATTCACTATTCTCCTTGGAGGTAAAAAGCATTTCCATGATTACCTTGAGTTTGGCTTAATTTCTCATGTTATCCTTAATGACTTTATATGGTTCTGCACACAAAATATGGAATATTCATATAACATTGCTTTATTGAAGAGCTAATGAAAAATAATACCATGTTTTTGAATATATTCTTATCACCTTAAAAGAACAAATTACAGACTCTCTTGTTAGTACCTAGAGAAAACCCACTCTTCTGCTTTCATTCATCATTTTGTTTGGTTTTGGCTTAGATTTAAGAGTTTTTTTTTAAAAAGAGCTTAAGTGTAACTGTTTATGAATGCCTTTATTTTGAGGAACAGTTTCAGGTTTACAGAAAATTTAGCAGATAACTCAAAGAGTTCCCAAATACCCACTCTCTCCCCTGTTTACACTTTCCCCCGTTATTAACATCTTGTATAAGTGTGAACATTCATTGCAACTGATTAGCTAATATTGGTACATTATTCAAGGTTCACTTTTCACATTAGAAACTTCTTCTGTGTTGTTCTTTGGTTTTTTACAAATGCATAATGACATGCATCTACCAGTTTGGTTTTGCTGCCCTAAAAATCCTCAATGTTCCACATACTCATTCTTGCACCCTTGGATCCCTAGCAAAGAGTAGTCTGGATTATATTTGTCATTTTCATTCTTCTTCAAACATTAATAAAAATGTTTACTTTAATAAACAAACAGTAAGATTACTACACATCCCCAAATCATAGGGTTGAAAAGAGAATTTGAAATGGTCTTAGCCCCTCCTCTTTTGAGATCAAATACTGCTACCTAACAAATCTTTCCAAAATTTTTATGGTTCAAAACATGTGGTCTTGCGTGAGTCACCTGGCTGCTGGGTGGGACTGCAGGGTCCAAGATGGTCTCTTCTCATGCTGCTTGGGCTTCCTTCTTCATGTGATATTTCATCCCCAGGAAAATTTCTTCACCTGCCAGTTAGTGTTTGAAGAGAGCAAGAGGAGAAGCTGCAGGGTATCATGAGGTCTAGGGTATCATGTCACTTCTACCACATTCTGTAACTTAGCACAAATCAGAGTAGCCCAAATTCAAGGTCAGAGAAATAGACTCTGCCTCCTCCTGGGGGAACCACAGAGTCACAGTTCACAGGAGCTCCTGTGGAAAGACAGAAGGGAATGACTGTGGTCATCTTTGTGCAGGGTCTTCAGCATCAGTTTATCACCCAGGCTAGCGATTCTATTTCTTTAATTTTAATTTCTATCTATATCCCAAAGACTGATCTCTCCAGACTGACTTATCCGCATTCCTTTGCCTTCCATCTTGTGGCTAAATATTATCAGAGGGAGGGCAAGAAGAGACTACTTTGGGGCCCCCTAGTTTTTAACTGTTTATACTCTTTCCTTTCCTTAACTAGATAATTGATAATATCAAGTATAATCATACTCAGAGCCCCATGTACCTATTACAAGTAGCTGTTTCAGAACTCTCCATACCACTTTTCCCCAACTTCAGAGAATGTTCAAGACAATCCCTACCTATCCTGTGGTCCTTTCTTCCTGCCTTCTCTGGACTGCTGCCTTGTAATCCATTCCTTTCACACACATATCTCCTTTTTTTTTTCTCTTTGGGTTCCTTATCCTTATAACCATGCTTAAGCTTCTCCTATATTCTTCTTCTACTTACTTTCCATTCTGTTTGTTTTTCTCTTTTGCATCTAGATATTTTGCATTTGCTATTTCTAGTTGCTTATCTCCTTCAGCCCTCCTAAACTTAACCCACCCACAGTCTGCTGTGCTGAGGTGATTGGTGGGCCCTCATCACTAGACCTCTCTACTTGCATGGACATCACTGATCTCTTTTCCTTCCTGAAACATTCTATTGCTAATTGGCTTCTTCAACACTGGCCCTCTGGTTCCTCCATGGATTCTGAATAGCCCTTATCTATACCATTTCTATGCATCACCTCCTTCTTAGCTCCATCCCTTATGTCTTCCTCTAACCAGCTTTGAAATTTTATGTTTCCTTCCTAGAGAGCCAGTAATGTCTTCTTCATATAATTACTTTGCTGAGTATCAGAGGTGACTTTTTATACATACAGTGACTTCATTTCAGTTCTTCCATTTTAACATAATATTTAGGAAAGAAAGAAAAGGAAGGAAGGAAGGAAGGAAGGAAGGATCGATCTTAGCTTTTTTTCAGTGAGATGGAAATACTGATACAAATAGCTTAGAGGAGGAAAAGTTTATTTTTGCTCATGGTTTCAGAGGATCAGTCCCTGGGCAGCAACTCCATTGCTCTGGGCCTGAGGTGAGACTAAACTTCATGGTGCAAGGGTGTAGTGGAGGAAAGCTGCTCAGCTCATGGTATCCAGGAAGCAGAGTGAGGTGCCAAAACATAAAACCCAAAAGGCATGCCCCCAGTGACCTACTTCTTCAGCCATGTCCCACCTGCCTCCAGTTACCACCTAGTTAGTTCATTCAAATTATTAATTCACCCAATGGATTAAGTCAATGATTAGGTTTCAGTTCTCATAATCTAATCAATTAACCATTGACTATTCTTACATTAGCATAGGAGTTTTTGGGGACACTTTATATCCAATCCAAACAGGGTTCAATTAGATAACCTCATCAATATGGTTCAGTGTTCAACTAGATAACCTCATCAATATGGTTGAGTTTTCCCATGAACAGGATGTCTGAGTTTTATCACAGCTTATTATTTTGCTTGGCAGCTAGCAGGTTTCTTCCATCAATAATTGCATAGACTCAAATTTCAGAAATAATGGGAATGGGGGAAAAAATCACACAGACTGGGGTTGTAGCTCAGTGGTAGAGGGCTTGCTTAGCACACGTGAGGTGAGACACTGGGTTCAATCCCCAGCACCACAAAAAAATACTAAATAAAGATGCACACAAACTGTATCAATTAAAAAATAATTATGCATCATAGAAAAAGAGGACTTGTGATATATAACTTAATCTTCACAAGGATCCCTTAGGTTCAATCTCCACCTACTTCTCCAGTCCTGTCCTTTGTTACTGCTTGCCTTGTGCTTAATATACCATTAATATACCATCTTGTTGGGATTTTCTTTCTCACATACTGTGGCCTTTGGGCTTCTGTGTCTTCAGTTGCTACTCTTTCTACTAGAATTCTGTTCTCACCTGATTGACACAGACTCATCTTTTGAGGCCTTAGTCTCATGGTACTTTCTCCTCCAATCCTTTTGTGGCCATCTCACCCTTGGTATCTCTTCTTCAGGGTCCAATTAGTCCCAGAATTACTGCTGTCAGAGCATGTAACACATTCTGAATTTATTGCTAAATCGATTGTCTGTCTCCCATCATTATAGAGGACTTGTTAGGTCCTCTGTTACCAACATTTAATCCAGAGCTCATTGCTGATTGAGACACAATAAATATTTGATGGGGAAAATTCCTAATACCTTAGAGCTGATGAAATGCAATGACATAAACCCTAAGACATAGCTGGTGCTTTTTTTATTTATTTAATTTTTTTTGTAAGTAAATTTTTGGCTTCATGATGTCAAAAATTGTATCCTTCACTTTTTAAAAAAATGTTACTGTTACTTTTACAAAGGTAAGTTCATGTATCCAATGAGTAGGTACAAAAAAATTACTGAAAACTTCAGCTTTCCTTTTGTAAGACATGATATAAATGTTAACTAAGATGATTCAGCAGAAACTTGTGGCAGATTTGAATAACTTTATTCACTTTTCAAAAAACAACCAATTTCTGTTGACACTTGATATCTTAATCTTAAATTCTGAGAAGCTTGCTGAATTTCTAGTGTCTAAATAATTTAAGCATGGTTATATTTTTTAACTCAACAGTAGATAACCACAATTGAATAGGTACCACTGCTTTCCTTTTGCTCTTAGTAGAATTTGAATAAATTCCTGTCAAGAAATCCTGTTAATGTGCATGATTTCAATGATCAGTTTGCCAAGTAGCTCATTTAGAAAATGAAGAACAAAGTCTTCCACCCTTGTCCCATAATGTGATTTCCATGAGTGTACATTCTTGCAGCATGAGCAAATGATTGTCATCCCCAAAAGTCTCAAGGGACATGGATGTCATCTTAATAAAGAAATTAAAAGGTACATCTTTTTATGAGAAACCACGTAAATTCGTGACCTGTCGCAGAAAATAGTTCTCTAATTGATTTTGTGTGGTGGTGCAGCGGAATCATTTTCCCTAGATGTCACCCCAGCGAAGTTCCACTGCACATCATTGTCAACAGCTAGTGAAATCTCCCTAATAAGAGGGAGAGGATGGAAAGGTGGTCATCCTCATAAAATAAAAAGTTGACTCATATTCCATTCTCCCAACTAATACTTTCAGTTTTAGATCTTAAAAAATTTATTAAAGAACTGGCTAAACGCAGAGATTAAAAGTTTATAATTGTGGAAAATTTCTTTAAAATTAAACTTTATCTCATATTTATTTACTGGGCATTTCTATCCCAAGCAGCCAAATAGTTGCTTTGAATTCCCATGGCTATGTATCTATATAGCACCCAATATCAGACATGAAAACATCAAAATTCAATTTATAATGATCCAGATGTCAAACTTCCTATATATAATATATTAGGGTGAATAGCTAGATGTTTTAAAATAAACTTATTGACGTTCTTTGAATCTTGCAGCTTTACCCCTCCTAGTGGACTAGTCCTGAAGGAAGAGAAAAGACTGTTGAGTTAGTGAAGGGATCATGTACGGGTTATATAGGAATGCTAGAATTAATATCTAAAACGGCCCCATCAGCTCCGTGAAAGGGACTAGAATGAAATAATGGGCAAGGAAGATGTCAAAAATCTGCCCTTTCAAATTTAATTTTCAGAAGAATGATTTAATATTGTATTTGGATGGACATGGGCCCCATTTGGACATTTATATTTCAGACAAACTCTGAAATTCTTTAAATCAATATTTCATATCAACTGCTGACAGCATTCTCTTCTCTTTTGAAAACATGGCAAAGGATATTCCTTCTACCTTATGATCTCTGTGAACTAGGCAACATGCCTGTTGACACTTGGCATTCATTTACATAAAATCACACTGGAGCAAAAGTTAATTTTGCTCCGAGAATACATAGCCTTCAAAATAACTTTCAGAAGATTTCCTTTGTTAGGAAATTTAAATTCATTTTATGAATGTATATGTGTTTTCCTAACTGTCTGATTAAAGATCACAAAGAAACTCTGGTTTTTGCATCTCACATTAGCAGATGGTGGACAGATGGTTTAAATTAATATTAATTTTGGAAAACTTAGCTTAAATTGTTTATGCTGAAGATTAAAAGTTGGAAAGCCAGTTACCATCTCCAGGGTTATTAGTGCTTCCAAACCCACTTGAAAAGTAAAAATCCAGAAAATCAAAACATCTACTTCTAAAGCAATCTTCATCTCAATAAGAAAGATAGAAGGTGAAAAAGCAGGGCCTTGATGTTGAAGAAAATTAAAATTAGAATGGGGAGAAAGAGGAAAATGCAGGTCCTAGGGTGAAAAGAGCCTTGAGAAGATGAGAATTGAGAATTTTATCTGCACATTGATTTAAACTAGTCAGTAATGATTTTTCAAAAGATCTTAATATGAACAATTGCTTTTTTAAAAAATACATTAATAATTGGTTGCTAAACTGAATCAATTTTTCCACAGGCAACATTTATCTCTTTTATTTGAAATGAGCCTCATATTTTCTTCCCATGGGGGAGAAGGGGCAGAGAAAGAATGTGTCTATTTCTCATGAATTGTAGACAACAAAAACATACACACATCCTCTACCTTATGAGGATATATATGTGTATATATGTATGTGTGTGTGTGTGTATATATATATATCAAATGTACAGTCTGATTATATTTTTGCCTTTCCACTTAGAGTTAGATGAATGTAGTAATTTGGTAGGAAAAATTTCAAAATAATCTCTAAAAATTTGTGTGTTTTACAAATTAAACCTTTTATATACTCTGAATTTTAGGGAATAATTTTAAATAATCCTATAAGTATTGAGCAAAATTCTTTCACTTAATAAAAACAGAAAAGTATGAACTACCACCTGTGAAAATATACTTTTGTGCCTAAAATTATGATTTTTTGCAAAATTAAAAGAATTGACTTTTTAAAAAGAAATTATTTGTCAGACAGATGCTGGCAATTTTATTTAATTAAGCTTCCATAGTAAAGCAGGTGTCATAAAGTATGCCCAAATCCAGTTGAGTCCTTTTTGCTCTCCCCAGGGAGGTTGGAAAATTCACTTTGTGTAAGGCAGCAGCTTTGATATCTTATGAGAACCAGTAGCCACTTCCAGCTTTACCCTCATTCCTGATTTGGCTTACTTTATTAAATGAATCAAGGGGAAATGAAGTAAACAAAATTCAAGTCATATGACTAATTTTTAAAGAAATAAATCACAGCACATGTGTTTTCATGTATATTAAAAACTTTAAACTATAAAATTGAAGAACAAGAACACATTTATCCTGTTTCCAGGATTTGGTTGAAAATTATCCCAACACTTTATCCTAAATATCTTGTTTCAAGTTGAATTTAATTTCTGTAATGCCATTTGAGTTTCCATAAATAACAAGTGAGAAGTTCTTCATCTAAGAAAATGGGGTGGGGTGGTAATGAAGACAATAAATAATTAGAAATTAAAATTTTTCTTTTTTTGTATAGATAGAAAAGGCTTTCTCACATGTCACTATTAAATACTATCTGTACAGTATTTCTAATTAGAAGGGATATTAAAACAGCACTCTAGGGCTGGGATTGTGGTTCAGTGGTAGAGTGCTGGCCTTGCACATGCAAGGCCCTGGGTTCGATCCTCAGCACCACGTAAACATAAATAAATAAAATAAAGATATTGTGTTGAACTACAACAAAAATAAATAAATATTTTTAAAAAAACAGCACTCTAGTGAAAAGAGACTAGCACTGCAGGAAGAAAAGCATAATTCATAGAGCAGAACTTCTTGTCCAGGCTCTGTAACTAAAAATGGCAGCCACTAAAAATGGCAGCATGACCTTGACTCTACCTCTTTTGTCCTTCCTAAGCTTGCTCAACTGATCACTGTAGGGGTTGAGTTAGGAACTCTCCAAGGTCCTTGCCAGTTTTGAGGAACAGACTGTGACAAAACTGTTCCTCAAAGGTACCTCCTTATAAGAATCCCTTGAAGACCTTGTCATACATAGAGACTTGTAAGCCTCACTTCCGAGCATTCTGAATCGAAATCTTACAGAAGTTGGTATTATCAATAATCACCCCTAGTTTTTTAATCAGATAAATTTTGGCAACACTGATGTGTAGAAAAGATAAATATTATTCCCTCAAGAAACCCTTGCTGAAAACAGGAAGCAAACTGGAACAAATTCCACTTCCTGCTCCCCTTCCACTGTGTTTACACCTCTGCTATATCACTATCCATCACAACACAATGCTTTCTTTATATCTTTATATCTCAAGAGGAAAAGAATATAACCAAATGTCTGGGTCTCAATAAATGTTGTGCATGAATGGGTGGATTCTGGTCTGTGATATAGTGCTTATCACAATTCAATATGTGACCTTGAACATGTTCCAAAATCTTAGATGTTTATTTTTGAGAGACCACTGCATGTGGTATGTTCATTTATTTGAATTAATAATTGATTATTGAGTATTAATTATTAAGTATAATTATTGTATCTGATCAAACTAAGATAACATCAAACATGAAAAAGCTCTGTAGCAAGTTAAATAATCAGTAATTGAATGGCATCTAACCAATTTGTTGTATCCTTTGTTTTATTGGGAGTAAATGACAAGTGTTTACATCAAGGGATTATGTGAATAGGGATTAAAGGATATTTAAAATGTTTGGATACTTGAGTTAAAAGTTGGAAGTAAGCCAGTGTGGTGATGCATGCCTATAATCCCAGATATGTGGGAGACTGAGACAGGAGGATCACAAGTTCAAGACCAGCCAGGTGATTTAGTGAGATCCTGTCTCAAAATAAAGAGAGCTGGAGATGCAGCTTAGTGGTAGAGCAGCACTGGGCTCAATTTCCAATACCAATGAATAAATAAATAAATAATAAATTTGGAAGTATATACTATTATTATGTAAAAGATCACTAAGAATTTAGGATATTTAACGTCAAGCTTTTAGAGTTTTTTTTAAATACCATCTTACACTTCATGTAGTAGACCTTTGAATAAAATGAATCTTTATCAAGTTTTTTTTGTCTTAACTCGAGGAATCTATTTGTGATTAAAATATTTTCAAACTTAAGGTATATATTTTTGTTTTGCCACTAAATAAACTTAATTTCTTCTCCTCTTCCACCACCTCCTCCTTTTCCTTTCTTTTTTTTTTTTTTTTAGGGAACTACATAACATTTATTTTGGACCCTTTCCAGTACCCATTGGTAATGAAAAATCACAAACAATTAAGCTTCGATATATTTTCTAGAAAACTTTCAGAGAAAGCATTCTCCATCAAGACGTCCATGAGAAATGAAGATCTAGCTCATGACCTTCATGTTGCCTATCAACTTTTGCAAGGCAAATCTTTGGACATACTCTTGGAAAACATGTTGCAGGATCTAAAACAAATGTTTGAGCCCAAACTATTAAAAACCACAAATTGGAACACAGCACAAATGTTAACCTTCTGCCGCTCAATAATATTTGAGGTCACGTTTACAGCCATATATGGAAAAATTCCTGCTGAAGACAAGGAAAAGATTATCAGTGAGATGAAAGATGATCTTTTTAAATATGATGACAAGTTCACATACTTAATTTCTGACATACCCATTGAGCTTCTAGGAAATGTCAAGGCTCTGCAGAAGAAACTGATAAATTACCTGACATCAGAAAACTTAGCAAAGACACAAGAAAAGTCAGAAATTGTGCAAAGGAGGCAAGAAATCCTGGAGCAATATTTGGTTCAGGACCTTGAAATAGGAGGTAAGAAACTTCTGAATGATTACTTATCTAAAATAAAATAATTTACAGTAGACCTTTGAAATAAAAAGACAAAATGGCGACCTTGAAATTTTTTATGCTCTTTCTAATTGGCTAATGATAAAATGTTTTACTCTGAAACAACCTTCTGTGATAATTGATTTTTTTTTTTTTTTTTTGCTGAGGTGGTAAAACAAGATACTTAATGATGATAATGAGAAAGAGTATAACTAAGCTGCATTTATTCCTTTTATCTCATCCCCCACCTTCCTGTCCCCCCACCACACACACATTACATTTTAAACTATTCTCATTAAGCAGAAAATTAGACTTCAGAAGCCTATTGGTTCTCATTAGCATGCACTGATCCTTGGCTGGGTCTGTGTCCTAACATCTTTTAATTAGCACACTGCAAATCTAATCAGTGTAATAAACGCTATTAATCTTCCTTTTCACTTATTTTCTCCCAGCACATCATTTTGGCTTTCTCTGGGCCTCTGTGACAAACACGATTCCAGCCATGTTCTGGGCAATGTATTATCTTCTCCGGCACCCAGAAGCTGTGGAAGCACTGCGTGACGAAATTGACTCTTTGCTGCAGTCAACAGGTCAAAAGAAAGGATCTGGATTTTCTATCCACCTCACCAGAGAACAATTGGACAGCCTGGTCTGCCTAGGTAATTTATTTTTATCTGTTATGAAGAAAAGAGGTACCTCTCTGCAAACTCAGTTTATCACTCATAGCTGTTTACCAAGAGGTGGAGGACACAGCTGCCTAATTGACATAATAACACCCATTTACATCAATTATAAATTATGTAGTTTATGGCTGTAGATACTCTCATTGCATGTAAACATTAAAGCCTAGGTAATTAACTATGCAAGGTATGCAAAAGGCTAAACCAAAGCTTTGCAATTATTTGGAAAAAAAAAGTTTATGCCTATTAAGTCATTTGATTCTAAGCATCTGTTGGTGTGCTAATTCTTTCCAAACACTGCTGCACTATCTTGACAAGAAAAGGATTTGGAGATTGAAAAAGAAAGTATTTCAGAGGACAACTTGTGTACAAAACATATTTATTCTTCCTTAAAATGGTGTGTCTACATTTTCAGGCGCAGGTTAGGACATTTTAAACAGCTAGAAGTGTGTAGTTCTCAAAAATGTACTAAATGTCTTTTCTACTGTAGGTTCATGATTAAAACATACTTTAAAAAAATCAGGGAGGACAAAATGAAGGAAGGGAGGGAAAGAAGAAGAAAAAAACAATTACAAACTGCCCCATGTCAAACACTGTTATTTTGTAAAATATTTGCTAATTCATGAGATGTACAGAATACCCATTTCAAACACAGTTGGGGTCCATAAGTCAAAGTTCTTTTTGTTTTCTACATGGACTATACATCTAGTTTTTGTTGTTGTTGTTGTTGTTGTTGTTGTTTGTCATGCTGGGGATTGAACACAGGGTCTTGTGCATGGAAAGCAAACACTCTACCAATGAAGCTATATCCTCAGCCCAACCTATACATCTGTAATATGAGCTCTAGATCACAGCAAGATCACATTCACCTTTACAGGTTTGGGGAAGTCTCTTCATTATCATTATGTAGTGAACTTACACTCTCAAAGTTAAACTCCTTATCAATGAGTTATTCCTCCATATTAGCATTTCATTCTCTGATATCCTTTTAGGTGACAATATTCCAAGTCCCTTTGGACAAATGCAGAATCAAGTATTTATTTATTTATTTATTTATTAATATTTATTTTTTAGTTCTCGGCTGACACAACATCTTTGTTTGTATGTGGTGCTGCGGATCGAACCCGGGCCGCACGCATGCCAGGCGAGCGCGCTACCGCTTGAGCCACATCCCCAGCCCCTCAAGTATTTATATATCTGTATCACTTCACTCCTTTGACTATGCAGGCCAGTATTTTAGCATATATTGGCCTCAACTTTTTATCTTTTAAATTCGTCCAGGTTCTTTAAGGGTAACTTCTGAGAACAAAGGCCCTCCCAGTCTTGATCATAGTTGACCACCAGTTGGCATTGAGAATAATGGCCCAAGTGTTGTAGAAATTTTTCCCACTGGTCAGGCTGAGATCCGTCAGAGGCAGTGGCAGAAAGCAAACTGGCCAGAAATGCACAACATTTTTGTAAAATTCTGGGTGGTTATCTCTGTTTGGATACATTGTATTTGTATTTCTGGGTAGAATATTTACGGTTTCTTGAAAATTTTAAGATTGCATTGGCTGTATGTTCAAGTAATTTCCATATCATCATATGAATAAGATGATACATATAGGGAAGTCATGCGAATAAACTTCAGGGGATGTGTATCTGTCTTCTGTACTAATAATAATTCTTAAAAATTCAGTTGAAACTCATCAACTCTATTTTTGTTCTCAATTCCTTGTCATTGAAACAAAAAAAAATATTTTTAAACCATAGTATTAAATCAGAAATGTTTGGATTTATTTGATCAGAAGAAACTGCAAGTTCTACAGTTGTAACTTGGGTTCCTTTAACTCAATAGATGGACCTGGACACTTTCGTACTTAGAGCCCTCATAAATGTATAGCTCCCCTACCATCATCACTCAGTGAATGACAACCGAAAGTTCCAAGTGAGTTGAGATCTACCTGTACAAAGGTCATTATGCCTTCAGCAGCTACAAAGCTCATTGTGAACTTGGTCAGCAGCAAAGACCAGTGTTGTTCATTATGAGACTTTAAAACATTGGAGTGCATTATCACCTAGAAAAGAGATACTTTTTCACACTTTTTTTTCACAAATATAAGGTTAATGAGATTGAAATAGATTTTTAATGAATCAGTTAAACAACAGATGACCCCTACATTTAGTCATAGGTCGATCACAAGTATTGCTCTTTAACAAAGGAGCATGAACTGTGTGATACATCAGTGCTTTCTTTCCAGTGCTTTTTTTGGTACCAGGGATTGAACCCAGGGGCACATCCCCAGCCATTTTTATATATTTATTTATTTATTTGTTTTTGGAAACAGGGTCTCTCTAAGTTGCTTGGGGCCTTGCTAAGTTGCTGAAGCTGACTTTGATCTTGTGATCCTCCTGCCTTAGCCTCAGAAGCCACTGAGATTACAGGCCTGTACCACCATGCCCAGCTCTTTCCAATGCTCTTGAGAATCGCTTTTCAAAACCATTCTACTCTTTTCTTTTATACAAAGAAAACATGACAGTATATTGTTTTAAATTTATCCATCTTATTAAATGAAGGGTACTCACTTATCATGACCTCACTAAAAATTCTTATTTATCAATGTTCAGTAAAAAATTCTACAAGTCTAAATAAAATGTAAACTAACAATAAATGCAAAAAGTTTCAGATAACTATTACTTGGTGTCAAGATCTCAACAGGAAAAGATGCTGAAAGAATGGATGTTGAAAAACTCTGTGAGGAAAGTAAGAATTTTTTAAGTGTTTTTCATTAGGAAAAGTCTGGGTATAAGTAGTATTTAGAATTCCAGGTTTCAAATACAGGAAAAGAAAAGGATAAAAGATGATCCTGAAAGGTAAAGATAAGAAAAATATTAACACAAGGAAAGCAAAGATCTCACAATTGAAATTTTGATAAATTGATAGCAAATAATCTTGATAATTGCAAATAATCTCATAGTTTATCTGAAAGAATGGATATAAATAACAGTTGAATGGAACACAGTATAGATTCAATAAATGTTACCTATTATTATCACCAAAATGATATTTAACCTCTATGACATCCGTCCAGAGTTGATATTGTTTTCTTCCTCTTCAATTACTTGAGATCCAAACTGACATCGTATTCAGGTCTGCCTTACCCCACAGGGATGCTTTTTCTATGCATCATCCGGAAAAAGAGCAAAAATAATTCTAGTTAACACATAAGGTAAAATGAATTATAACTCCTCAACAGCTCAGGTAAATTGTGGGCACCTGATTTTGTTTGATTATATATCCTGAAATTGAGCAAAGCTGCAAATGTGGTCTCTTTGAGGGATATTGGAATAAAAGAAGGTGCTGTAAAACAAGAGCTAGGCTAAACCTGTCAGGCTTTTTTTTTTTTAAAGGAGATCATAAATTATTATAATTCTTTGGATTATGAGCCTGAGCTGATTCCCCCATCAAAATTTTATTAAAGATATTTAAACCCATTGCTTGTGGGCATTTGGGGTGAGTAGGGTAGAGGAACCCAGAAATGAAAGATCAGTTAGAAAAAGTAAAGATCCTTTAATAAGAAATAATCATCATCATTAAACATTATCATAGTGAATGTATACATGATTTCAATATTTCAGTGTAATTTTATAGACCTATTTCATGAGCTCTTCACCAAGATACTCTGAGTAAATATGGGCACTGCTATTTTGTCGTTATTGTAATAAAGGAGAAAATTATCAGGGTCTAAATAACTTGCCTAAGGGAGTGGGGGGTGGTAAAAGAGAGAGGAAGGATTTGCACTTAGGTTTTCTGACCACGACCATGACCACATTTTTCTCCTCAGATCTGTCTGATCCCAGAGCCCTTGGAATCCTTTTCATTGTTCCAACTGAGAGGGGAGAGGAATCCTTTATATCTTGACTCTATGAAGCCAGCCATGATATGCACGTGCATATGATCAGGAAATGTGGGCCAAATTGTTATACAGTTACTTGAATTTTTAGCTTCAGGATAAGAAAATATAGATGATATTTCTTTCATCCCTAGACTAATAATATTAATAATTCACTATACATTAAGTAACTCATGTATTTAGCTTACTTAATTCTCATGTATTACTATTTTTATTTAATTATTAGATAGTATAGTTCAACGATATTATCTAGGCAAGCCAAATCATATAACTAGACAGGAGCAGATCCAGAAACTGATGCCTAGTCTACTTGACTTCATTGCCTGACCATCACCACCGTTAACCTCAGACAAAATTTCTCTAGAAATGGACCAGAGATCTTGAGCTCTATTTTTTACAAGATATGTATTACTCATTTTCAAATGCAGCAGGGTTTGAGGGTTAGGACAGAGCTAGAGATTGCCATTAGAAGCTTTTCATTTTAGAATGTTTTTAAATTTACAGAAATGTTAGACAGTAGAAGGAGTTCCTATATACCTCCCCAGAGTTTCCTTTATTATTAGCATCTTACACTTGTGTGGTATGCTTATCCCAATTATGACTATTGTTTTGAAAGGCTCATTCAGTATTATAAAATACTTGTATACTTAAAAAATTAAAAGTTTACCTAAGTTAGACAATTGTGACATTTGCTGAAGATCATCTTTTTTGATAGGAAGATTGACAGGGTATAAATTTTACTTTAAGTCAGGATCTTCTAGGCTGGAGAGAAGGGAAGCCATCGTCCACTGAGGGATGCATTCAGAAACTTAACAGTGTAGGCAGTGAGATTTTTATAGGTAATACAAAGAAGCATTAGCAAAAATACAAAATACACTGATTTGGATCTTTATCAGATAATTTTTCATTGTAGCACAAAGCTAAAAAGATTTTATAAGATAGTGAATGATGGGAACAGAAGCTGAAAGAATTTGAGGGGAATTTTAATAAGAATTAAAGTAGCAGATTGTTGTATGTAGATCTAAAATGAAATTGCAAAAGAATGTGATAAGGAAATGTATGGCTTTGAAGAAACCAATGCAAAGC